ACAGTATTTGCACTTCGACAGTATAGCCACGTGAAACATTGCAAAACTAGCATCCCTTACAGTCAGTCCTTACGCTTTGAAAGAATTTGTTGAGAGCAACCAGACTTTCAAAAAAAAATTGCAGAACGCTAAAGGATGCTCTAGTCAAACAAAAATATCCGCCGCAATTAATTGATGACGCAATAAAACGTGCCGGCATGCACAATCGTAGAACGCTGTTGTGCGCTGCTAAAAACTCGACTCCCTCACCACAGATAAACTTGGTCCTTGCCCATTCTGCGTCAGTTCCGCGGGTTTCCAATGTGCTAAGAACGCACCACAATATTCTAATGCAAAGTGAACGCCTAGCAATGCAAAGTGAACAAAGAGTTTGAAACTTAAGTTAGTGCTTCATTTCAGGTTTTTGTAAGGTCGCGCTTGCCCAGTATGTTACTCAGCGTGCGAATTTGAACATCTCGCGTTTATGACTTTGCCCCAGCGGAATTGATTGATATGTGGAGTTTGACGACCCCAAAACCACCGTATGATTATAGGAGAAGCCGGCCCCCACGGAAGGCTGGTAGTTTCTCTTAAGTTGCGATGTCATGCCACAGACGTGAATGAACGAGCAGAAGTTGATACCAGTAGTGAAATTCCAGTGACTCGCATAAGAATGGCCGAAACACAAACCGACAGGCACGGGAGGTGCACAGTACAGCGTACATAAACTCGTGGGCATGCGCTGGCAGTTCTCGTCGCAGTTACGCGTTCTGAGAAATCGATTATGGTGCACTATTCTGTGATCAATACTAGAACTCATACCGTCATCACTAGTGAACCGATCACTCGAGATTTCGTATGGTATACGAGGCTCCTCCTGTTCGCACCGGCCTAAGTGCTAGCAAACATGAATGCACGCACTATAGTTACAGCAGTGTGGTACAGGGCATATCTATGCTGCATGGTGAAATATTCTGCACAGTTCTTAATTTGTTTACGTAAAGAGAAATGATCATTGCACGCTTGCAAACAACGGAAGACACCTAGCCGGAAGGTTATCGCTTGTGGGAGAAGAGCGATGAAATCTACAAAAAAAAAAAAGCAAGAACACTATGCCTTTTCGCGTGTACTTAAGTTTTCTATGGCGCATAAACGTAGCGAACAAGCTATTTTCATGTGAAAAGGTATAATCTGGAGGTGCATTTTTTATTGAGACCAAGTGAACATTTTTCAACAATGATTACCTTACCCTCGCATATTGTACGATAAAACATCGATGATTGGAGTACTTCATTGCTATAAAAAGTCGGAGTACAACGGTAATGCCAACTGAAATTGCAATAAAGTCTGCCCGAAAAATAACGCATGCGAAATCGTGTTGCCAACGTGTAGCGTAACTTACAAAAAAAAAATTACTTATCGCGTCTTGCAAGCGCGCGCACTAATATAACAAAAATGTTAACTAAACGCTATCACAGCGTCAGGGCTGCTTGACATATAGAGATTAATTCCCACAGGCATGCAGTCACACACATTGACAGTAAGAAATTATTCGCTCCTGAAAGTATGCAAAATCTAAATGTAATTACAATAGTCCAAAAACATGCTGTGTGTACCTTTCATACCTCGTTGTAAGCGGAGTTCTCTTTGACTTATGAAACGCACTTCGTCCCGACGAGGACTAGATTAACAATTAACGATGTTTTGTCCAATCAGGAGGGTCATCACAATGAGGCGTTATCGAAGACTAGTCCATTCAGTGGTGTGACAAGAGGCCGTTGCTTTAAACGGTCGTTGTGCCTGTTGTTTATAGTATTTTACTGCGATTACTTTGCTCTTGCTTACTCTCTTCACAAGCATATGCATGGGGAGGGGAGGGGGAGTCTCATGACTTTGATATACATGTACACAATGTGCTGAAACTACCGCCGATAGTCATGTCACAGAGAATAGCTCATGACCTCCTCCCCCACCCCCCCTTTTTTGTCGGGTTAGTGTGAACCCCTCCCGAAAAAAATTCTGGCTACGCCCCTGCTTGCAAGCCGAACAATATGCCACAGAGCTTAAGAGGAACAATTGGCACAGCTTCTGCAAGTCACTTAATAAGACGCTAAGTACTGCGCACACGTGGGCCATACTGAGAGCCCTTGTTGATCCGAAAAGTGCCAAGACCTACACGAGCAGTACCATCCGAACAGTTCTTCACAAGCAGGATGGGGATGACAAAAGCATCTTACAGACGCTTCAAGAAAAGTATATCGCTGCAGGCCCTCAACCAAAATATCAAAACTACTCATATGCAAGGTCAACAACACTGGATGCTGATATTACTGTGTACGAAGTTCGAGCTGCCCTTCTGAATATCATGCGCAACACAACACCAGGGAAAGACAACATCCAATACTCTCTCATTCGAAACCTCAACAGTGAAAATCTAGAACAGCTCGCAGATTTTTACAACACTCGCTGGAAATCCGGAACGTTACCCCAAGAATGGAGACATGCCGAAATAACACTGATTCCCAAGTCCGGCAAACCACTAGAACTTGTAAACCTGCCACCAATATCACTGACGTCTTGACTCGGTAAATTAATGGAGCACGTCATCCTCCAAAGATTGCAACCATACCTTGAGGCCCAGGGATTTTTTCCAGACACACTGTTTGGGTACCTGGCTCATCTGTCCACGCAAGACATACTTCTCCAACTAAAAGAGGAAGTAATGGACAGGATCAGTTCTGCGCAAGCTAGAGCTCTGCTTGCCTTAGACTTCTCGCATGACCTAATACTGACCTAACGTCTCGCATGACCTAATACTGGAGGATCTCGCGTGGACATGGTGCGGACGACGATTTTACGCCTATGTGAAAGTATTTTTAACAAACAGGACGGCAACCATAGGGTTAGGCTATCTTCGCAGTGACATCATCAAGCTCGCGTGTACATGCAGGCACGCCACAAGGATCGGTGTTGTCTCCGACACTTTTTAACATCGTCATGGCTAAATTACCACCTCTACTGGCCACTATTCTAAGTCTGCGGCATGCTTTGTACGCGAACGATGTCACTATATGGGTCACCAAAGGCTCAGACGGACAAATACAAGATGCGCTCCAAGAAGCAGTAAATACAGTTCAGGAATACGCACAAGCAGGTGGTTTAATGTGCTCTGCAGAGAAGTCGGAACTTCCCTCATTCGTCGTCTCCAGCGAAATCCCAACAGCCCGCAAATCACAGTCACCTTAGAAGATCATGCAAGTCCCTGCGTACTGAAACTCCACGTCTTTGATTTTTATATTCAAGCTGATCTCAAGGCAACGCACACCATGAAAATATGAGAACAGCAAGTTTCTCCAATCACGCATATGATCCGCCGCATCACTAACCGAAGACATGGACTTCAAGAGCAAGACATTCTACGCATAGTTAATGCCTGCATAGTAAGCCACACTACCTACCACGTCCCTTATCAAATCACGTCCCTTATCCCAACCCACGTCCCTTATCAAACCTTAACGCTTGCACAAGTAAGACTGGACATTCTCCTTCGCAGAGCCGTCAAGGAGGCGCTTGGACTGCCTACGTATGCATCCACCAACCATCTCCTAGCCATAGGAATACACACCAACCTAAGAGAACTAACTGAAGCACAGCGTTATAGTCAGCTACGAAGACTCCCCAGCACTTAAGTGGGAGAGCGGCTACTCGTCAGGCTATAGGCTACTATCCAACCCTATGTGGATACAACACACCAGGCAAACAGCTACCCAGTGATCTCCGAGCAAGAATTACAGTCGCGCCACTTCCACGCAATACGCACCCAGAGCGCAACGCTCAGCGTGGGCGGGCAAGGGTGAAAACCTCACGCGCATCAGTCTCCTCCAAACACTCTCTTATACTGCGACGCTGCTAGACGTGCACCACTGCAGTTTTACATGTGAAGCAGTGGTGAACGACGATCACGACATAGTAGCCTCCATCAGCGTACCTACCAAGAAGATATCCGAGGGCGAAGAGTGTGCGGTCGCTCTGGTGATTTCCCATGCTGCCATAAGCCTTCCATGCACATATGTTATTCTAATCTTTACAAATTCACAGGATACCTGTCGCGCCTTCACACGGGGTATCGTATCACAGCACACACACCGAATTTTGAACACTGCATTCCACACGTCTCTCTCCCCGGTCATGACTGCGCAAATGCAGCTACCCGAGCGCTCACTAACCGGGAAACGGAAGAAGAGCTGTCCAACCCAGATGAGGAGAACACAAACACGGAACTTCTAGGATATCGATACACTCTCGATTACTATAGACGAGAACCACACCACACGAGAGGTTGGAAGTGCGGTGCGTCAACTGCAAGCCAACACATTTCCAGACCTCTATTTCCTCCACATCCTCCATCCCACTTCTTACCCTGACAAATGCCCTGGCTGCCGAGTGGTACTGACGTTATTTCACGTAACGCTGGAATGTCAGCGTCCGCCTGTCAGGCGCTCTGCCAACTCCTATTCCTACCCCGCAAGACTGGGATGCCATGCTGCGTGATGAAAGTCCCAGTGGCCAGCGGGCGCTGGTTCGGCGGGCACGGGGCACAGCAGTGGCTGTTGGAGCTCTGGACTGTGAGCCCCACCCGATATTTCTCTGTGATTAAAATAAGAAGTTTTTCTCTCTGTCTACTGCGTCGTGGGCAGCTGCGCGCTCCTTCGCTTGCGAAATGACCTTCGTTTTTTTCCCGAATTTGATGAGCGGCGCGCAGGAGATACCACGCTCCGCGCGACCGTGTGGGCGGTGCTAAAGTGAGCTAGGAGCGCTTGGTAGAGGCGGCGACGACGGTGTAAGATGACTAGGCAGCGACCTTGAGAGCTCGTCAAACGCGAGCCTGTCGCGCCATCTCGCCACTGATAACAAAACCGCGCTAATATTCCGACACACTGAGCACGCAATAAATGATGCGCATGCGCCGTGTGATACCTCGAGGTTCGACGCCGAGCTTTTCGTCACATTGCGCGCCACGTTCACGACACGCTCAAGTGTGCCCGGGCCTTCCTTACCGTGGTGAGTTTGTGCTAAGGGCCCTTGTAGAACATCGGTCAGTTTAAGTGTGCGTGTGCCTTTCCTCTGTGCTTAGAGTCTTAGTAGAACAACGGACATGGGCGGTGAAGAAAAAATGGGACAAAATTCAGCGATTGGTGGCGGCCATGGCAAAACAAAGCAGGCAGGCACGTCTGAAGACAATGCAAGGTAAGGTTCTATGGCATATATTTTTCTTTTAATGAAGCCTGCGTGCGCGCTACATTTGGCGAATCTGTGAAGGCACCGTTTTTTTTCTGTTTTACTGTGTTTACTGGTTGTCATAATGCGGGTTCTCGGGCTTTGTAGGCCTAGGGTGCCTTACATCGGTGTGCTACTGGTGTTCCTACTAAACATTTATATTATACTTTCTAAACAAGAAATAACAGCAATATATGATGCCGGAGTAGACATTGTAATAACCTTTAAAGAATCCACAGACACACACGCATACACACACACACACACACACACACACACACAGGCGCGCGCGCGGTGTTTCAAGAGGTTTAGACCGAGTTACGCTTGTACGGCAAAAAGTTATTTGGAAGCAGTTGGATATTAAATGCTGCATGCTTAATCTCAGCTGCAGATTTGATCAAGTGGATCTAATAAGTGTAAACGTAGTACTTAAGAGTGACTACTATCCTAGTTGGTATATAGCTTCTGCGTCACAAGACTTCCACCTTCTATTCGTAATTTCGGCTTTCTTGAAACCAAGTATCGGCGGTTGTGTTGTTATTCTGCGGATCGTCAACGCACACGTTGAGGCAACGCCTCCTCTAGAAAGATGCCTGAGGAATGGCTCGCGCTCCCAGCGGAGTTGGCCTGCCTTGTTTTAAACAAACTCAGTGCGGTGGCGCTCGCGACCGACACTATCATCACGACGACGGGCAGTACTGTCGTGTCCTTCTTGTCTCTGTGTCGTCGTTTTGTCCTCCTTGTCTGTGTCGTCGTTTTGTTCTCGCGCTATAACTATTGTCATGCCATACCAACTAGCCCAAGCTGCTACACTTCTAAAGTACCAGCTAAGCGTTTTTTAATCTGCGGCCCATAGGGGTGTGTCAGTCGAGAGTTGTTTGAGACCTGCAACTGTGCACTACTGTTTCGGAGGCTATGCAAAGTGTTGCGGTGTTGCACCGTCCGCCACAGGTGACGCTAGCGACCGAGAACATTTTCAAAATGAAGGAGGAAAAAGTTGTGGCAGCTGTTTTTTTTTTTTTTTTTTTCATGCGGCAGGCATCTTCCTAGAGGAGGCGTTGGTTGAGGTTACGCTGACTTTAGCACTGCCTTGTCTTTTGTAGAGTACACTTTCCCTTCAGCTACATCAGCGCACTAGTAAAGCACAGGCGTAAGCGTAAGTGTGCAGACCATGGGATTGCGTCGCCGAAGGCATCGATGCACTATCTGGTGACGATGCGCCTGCTGCGGTGCCCCGCCCGGTGGTCTAGTGGCTAAGGTAGTCGGCTGCCCACCCGCAGGGTCGCGGGATCGAATCCCGGCTGCGGCGTCTGCATTTTCGGTGGAGGCGGAAATGCTGTAGGCCCGTGTGCTCAGATTTGGGTGCACATTAAAGTTTTGGGACGTTAAACCCCACATATCAATCAACGCCTACTGCGGTGCGCACGCGCATCCCGTCGTGTCAGTTGGCCTCTTATGTCGCACTCTCCGACGCGCTCGTAGCCAAAACGACAACGGGGTGTCGCTGTCCTTGTTCCAACAAAATTGTTTTTCTCTTTTTTTTACGTAGCGGATACAATAGCGCCGGTTCCAGCGCCAGGCTCGCATCGTGATTTATACCGGTTTATTGGTATAACTAAGCGTAGCCAGCTTCCCAAAACCTGATGAAGCCAAGCACACAAATTTAAGTTTTGTCTGCTCAGCTTGCCTTTGTTGAAAGTTGAACTTAAATGAGCCTAGCTATGATAAAACAAGCGTAATAAGTACTAAAACACAACTAAAATTAGTTTGAAGGCTGGTTTAATTTAGCCTAATCAGACTGGACCCGCTGATTAGTAATTAGTAACTTCCTTGGCTTGTACTCACTGATCTCATAAAAATTCAACTTCAATTACTTTAATTGTTTTTCTTACAACTAGTTTAATTACACCTGATTCTATTCAGACTAGTTTGATGGTACCATAATTAAGCACACTTAGATTTTTCTATGCTTACCTTGGTGCTGCCTCATTAGCTTAGTTATGTATAATTAGTCTAATTACACTACATAAACTCCAGTATGTTCTGCATGTGATCAGATATCAGACTAATTAGTAAACCATAACTTGTACACGTCTTAACTGAAGCTAATTAGACATAAATTAACTTGATTTGTGTAGTATCAATTAGGTAGTAATTAGCATATTCCAGAATTTGGCACCTCTAGGCTCATTGGAAAGTCGACTTGGATTAGTTAGCCACGGTAATGTTGCCTTATTTAGGCCAATTTTACTCAGCTGAATTGAATGATAGCATAATCAATTATGCATAGATGGATTTCGCTGTGCGTGTACTTTTCTCGACCCTTTTCTCGGCCATCTGGGCGCATAAAAGCTTTGCTACGCCTAACCTAAAAACAGCAGTCTGGACAGGGCTTACGCTTACTTACGCCTGAATTTATCAGGTGATAATGCACTCAACTAGGCCGGATTAGATTCGGCTACATTTACATTCACTGAACTAGACTCACTAAAGTTCAACTTGGACTAACGCGACAAAGACAAGCTGAGCTGACAAAATTTAATTCTGTGCGTTTGGGCTTCATTAGGTTTTGCAAGACTAGCTACGCTTAGTTACGAATCAGCTGGCATAAATAACTACATGATCCCAGCGCTGGAACCGACACAGGTCTCAGCTTCTACATTTAAAAAAAAAACGCACAAATTCGATGAAGCAAAGACTGCGACCCCCAAGTACGTGTTGTTTTGGCTACTAGCTCGTTGGAGAGAGCGACATGAAAAGCCAATTGATACGAGAGGACGCGCATGCGCACTGCAGCAGGCACCTCATTGCTAGATAGTGCGTCGATGCCTTTGGCCATGCGATCCTGTGATCTGCACACTTATGCTCATGCCTGTACATTGTTAACGAGTAGGTGTACATTGTTAACGAGTAGGTGTACATTAGCGAGGAGGTGTACGCGACTCGGTGAGAAATTCTGGTATGCTATGAAATGGCTATACGAGGAGACAATAAAAGTTGTAAAATCTTAGGGGCACATTCCTAATCATGTTATTTCATGTTCTGACCAAGCCACAATGCTGTACCGGGTATACATGCACATTTGCATGTCGAACATCCAAGCTTACGGCATACACACCCCCTTTGACTTGGGCCTTTGGGCCCATAGCCAGGGCAGGTTGCCCCTCACCCTTCTATTCCAAAATTCAAATGAAGGGTGCATTTTACCGAAAATAAGAAAAAATAAAGATGCTTTTCAAAGATTGTCAAGGTTCTTAGCAAGGGCTGCAGTGAAGTATAATGTGTGCCGTGGCTATCCATACCTGGCGTTTAATGCCCCGAAATACACCATATGATTGAGAGACACTGTAATGGGATGCTCCGAAAATTTCTGATGCCTTGTGTTCTTCAATGTACACCAGTCTGCAAAATAAGTCTGGGCACGCACGCAACGACCACAATCTGATAAAACTAGGATCCCCCCCCCCCCCCCAGAAAAATTAAGGTATATGTGGCTCTGGATAGATGAATGTATGGACTGATATGGCTGTACTCTTTATATTAGGCTGTGGCTAAGGCCACCTAGCTGTAATACTCACTGAACAAAAACTAGATTTCTTTTTTTCACCTTTAAATAGTGAAGTTAAGGGCTAGCACTTTGCAGTAAACGATTTAATTTTCACTCGTGCCTTGAATGTAGCCATAGATCGGATAACCTCCTTCTAGTTATTGTTACCCACTTAGTCTATTTTGCCTTCCCTGCGCCTAAACTTTAGTGATTTGAAAAAATTGGCACCATCATCAAATTAGCAAGTGTTTGGCAGTTTCCTCCTTCTCTTCACACGCACTGTATACTGTGTATACCTCTTAGTATTTGGTCCAATAAGTCTTGGTTCGCAATACTCTCGCCCTGGCCTCAAATAGTAGAGAACTACCCTGAGAATTATCATATATCTTTTCCTTGACAATATACTGCTTAAAAGTTCGATAGATCGGCTGACTTCTTAATCATGCCTATTTTTCACATGTCGGTCTCCGTTTCCTTCACCTTCTTTTTAACCGATAGTTTTTTGTGGTTTGGTTCCTGCTGTTTTCTAAGTATGTACCCATCGATTTCCTGGTTTGCTTCTTTGATTTTGTATTGACATTTCTGATGTTAAAATAGCTGCAAAACCTTCCTAGCCCGACGTTCCTCCTCGATTTCTCTCAATCGCTCCTCAAATTTAATCTTGCTGCTAGCTTCCCTGCCCTCGAATGATGTCCACTCCATATCACCTTGTAGACACCGATTTGGTGTATTCCCGTGAGCTCCTAAAGCAAGCCTGCCTATTCTACGTTGCTTAATTTCTAATCTTGCTTGAACCTCTGATATCATGCTCAAGACCGCATTGCCAAACGTCTGACCAGGAACCATGACCCCTTTTGGGATTCCTCTCACATCATACCTATTGTAATTCCACAGTGCCCTATTTTTAATCACTGCTGCACTCCTGTTACCTTTAGTTGTTACAAATATTCCGTGTTCCCTTAGGTACTTGGTCCCATTGCTTATTCATGCCCCCACATATTTGTATTTATCTGTTATCTCTAGCATGACCTCCTGTATCTTAAGCTCACTACCTTCATTATGATGACAAATCATTACTGCTGATTTTTCTTTACTGAATCTCAAATCTAACCTATCTCCCTCATTACTGCAAATATCTAGCGAACCCTTCAAGTCTTCCTTGTTTTCGGTCACTAGTACTATATCATCTGCATACATCAATGCTGGTAGTGCCTGTTCAATTAGTTTTTCTAGTTTGACGAAAGAGAGGTTGAAGCCAAGTACACTCCCCTCTAATGTGGCCTCTAATCCTTGTAGGTACATCATGAATAACATGGGTGGCAGAGGAAACCCCTGCCTAAGCCCTCGTTTTATCTCTGTAGGCTTGGATACCTGTTTTTCCCTCTTTATAACTACCTTGCTACCTTTATAGATATCTTTTAAAGATTAGTGACTCCATCTTCCACACCTAGTGTGTCCAGTATCTCCCACAAGCCCTCTTGAATCACGCCATCGTATGCTCCCTTGATATCCAAAAATGCCAACCACGGGGGGCCTGTGTATCTTTTCTGTTATTTCGATGCACTGCATCAATGAGAACAGATTGTCTTCCAACCTTCTGTGTTTCCGAAACCAATTCTGCTGTTCCCCCAGCACCCCCTCATCCTCTAGCCATGCCCGCAGTCTTTTTTTCATAATCTGCATCACCCGCCTGTAAACAACTGATGTCACTGTTATAGGACTGTAGTTGTTTGTCAGCTTTGTCCCCCTTTCCTTTATAGATCATGCTCATCCTGCTAAGTTCCAATCTATCAGGGACTTCACTATCGATTATTGTTTTGCTCGCTGCCTCTCGCAAAGTTTGCTTAGACCTGGGACCCAATTCCTTTATCAGCATAATTGGCCCATTGGCCCCGCCGCGGTGGTCTAGTGGCTAAGGTACTCAGCTGCTGACCCGCAGGTCGCGGGTTCGAATCCCGGCTGCGGCGGCTGCATTTCCGATGGAGGCGGAAATGTTGTAGGCCCGTGTGCTCAGATTTGGGTGCACGTTAAAGAACCCCAGGTGGTCGAAATTTCCGGAGCCCTCCACTACGGCGTCTCTCATAATCATTTGGTGGTTTTGGGACGTTAAACCCCACAAATCAATCAATTTATCAGCATAATTGGGATGCCACCAGGGCCTGTTGATGTATTACTAGGAACCCTTTTCTCAGCCCTTTCCTACTCTCGTGAAAACGAAGCCACTGCACCACTTGATCTATCCTTGTCTATTGTGGTGCATAAAGCACTTCTTTGTTGAAATTTTTCTGTCACCCTTGTTCTTATATATTCAATAGCTTCATCCCCTTCTAGCCTAGCACCTTGAGCTGTAGTAGCTGATCTTTTCGTTGATCAGAAGGGATGCATCCCTTCTACAGCCTAGAAAGATTTCCCGTTTTCTTTCAACATCTTCTGTTGGTTAACCCCGTTGCTTAGCATGTCTGTGTTCCCTAGAGGCTTCCTGACGTTTTTCTATGGCTCTTAACTTCCTCATCCCACCAACTTTTGGGTTTGTGTCTTCTTTTCCGGCGTGACTTGTGAAACAGTCTTATTAGGTTCACTGTTTTATTATTCTCATTGTTTGTTTTCTCAATTTTTTCAGTAGCTATTTTTATTTGCCTTTCTGAATAAAAATTCCCCTGATAAAACTTAATCACTGCACCATCTGGCGGGGTGAGGGCGCATGCACATCCTTTCATTTTCACATCCATATCTTTTCACTCGCTCGCAGTCGGCTATGTGATTACATGGAGTTTCACGCTATGGCGTCACTTTCTAGCTTTTTTAAATTCGTGTTATGCTCAATTCAACAGGGGCACAGCGGTGGTGAAATGTACATGGCTCGCTTCACAGACCACGCAGAGCATCGTTTACCCAGTAGTGTTGAAAGCACCTTTCGCAGTAATTCCGGTGTCAGTGCCTACGTACGTGTCTAATTGATAAAGCGGGAAAATTCATCATTGTCTGCGAGCGACAACACTGGGTAGATGTAAATACATAAATCTCTAATGAAGAATATCAATCCTCGTGAGGATTGAACCAACGCGTCGTGTGTGGCAAGTTATTCTGTGTTCGAGCACAAGTGCTCTTTTCCTCAAGGCATGTGTAAAAAATATACGTAATGATGTGTGTGGCACTGGTTTGGCACTGAGATAAGAGATGCCATTTTTGTAATCAGGCCGTAGCGAGCTCCAATCTAATTCTTTGGTGCCGTAGTTAGTCTGTGGTCTTGACTAACAGGATCAAGACCACAGACTAACTAGTGCACTAAAACATGAGATTATCAAATAATTTTTTGTGTAATTCAGACCCATCCCTAATCACGCTAGTCAATGGAACCACACGTATTTCTCATTTTAAAAACAAATAAAGCTAATTCTCTTGTCTCCTACAAATGTATAAGCTTTCAATGATGTATCGTAAAATGCTGATGTTTACCTTTTGCTTTGTATTGTATGTGCTTCATACACTAAGATATTTACTTGCTGTATTATTAGTTTGTAAAAAGCTTTTTCTTATATTTATATTGCAGTGTTTCTTTTATTTTTATTTTTATTTGCATACTCCATAATAAGAATTTAATTACTTCTATTTGTTGACACGCTTTTTCTGCTTTTGTTGCTGACTTCTGTTCCTGCTTCGGACATGTAAGTCCGGGGTGAAGGCCTCGTCAGAAGACATGAGTCTTTTTTTGCCTTGCCTCGTGGACATATTTCTCTTGTACATATGTCTGAAATAAAGAAATTAAGATTGAAATAAACGAGGTGTGCTCACAAGGCGCCTTGCAAAATGCTCCATTTAGTTTGTTGTAGTCAGCCATCATGTTGCGCTTCTGTTTTTAATGCGAAAGTTCAGCTTGTATTCTAGCATTATCTCAACTTTCAGTGATGTTCAAGGCAACACCGATAGTGGCTGCTAGCATAATCTCCGGTGAGCGAAATAACCTTGTGTCAAATCTACTCGTGAGATTGCTCTAGGTCTTCAATTTTGCCATCACGTGTTGCTGTACCATCCAGTGGTGATCGGGAACTATGGCTGTTATTATCACCGGAAGTGGGAAGATCATTGGTTGAAAAGCTAGGCGACAGCCTTGACACAGCACAGCCAGGTACAATCACTGCAGCAAATTGGCAGCAGAGAGAGGGGTGAGTGTCTATCACATTTATTTATTTTTTTTCATGCAATGGAGTCGCATGATGTTATTCAATTTGTGTGTCACTAATTCTTCATGATCTTCATTTCCACACAAAAAAAGTCGTGTTAAGTAAACTCTTTAAGTTGCAAATGCAGCCTTACGCTGAGTGCAAAATTACACAGCTCTGCCAATAAGTTTATAGCATTATTAATCAGGTCTTATTAATTATATTTTTTTAATTATTCTTGTTTTGTATAGTGCAAACCTTTAGAAACATCAGACCAGCTAGTTCTCGTAGAACACCCCTTCATTTATACTTCAAGAAATACTTTCTCAAGACGTGTCATTCCAGTTATAACTAGCAAGCGCACTTAAAATATATTGCACATTTTAGACAAGTATTCTCTGGAACAACAATATAGATTGCAGTAAATTTGAGTGTTGGTGCCACATATTACTTGTGCTAGTCTGCTGACCGCTAAGTACCGACGCTCATGCTCTGTAACAGTATGCCTAGCAGCAAAGCTGATGCTAAACAAAACAATATATTTATTAAACTTAATCACACGGTATTCGCACCTTCATCAGCACTGCCCACATATCTATCATTATTATTACTCTTTGGTGTGGCTACACAAAACTCTCTTAACACTAGCATGATGTTTGAGATAAAAACCTATACCGTGAAGCTAGCCGTTTTCAAGCTGTCCATGGTTTCGGAAGTGGTGGTCAGCATTTCGGACGAGTGACCATAACAGGCTTGACGGGCCATTCTCTAGGGAAATATTTGCTTCAGTGAAAGAACTGTCGCTCTATCGTTTTCTATCACGACACTTGCTAGTTCTTGTGCTTTTCATATATTTCCTCATGTCCACTAGCACTACAAAAATTACCTTCATAATTATATGATAACTAGCATATACTCATGCAAATGAAAGTACAGGGGACATAATTAGAAGTAATTGCAATGTAGTAAATGTGAGGAAAGAAAAATGTACGAAAAGAAAACTTGCCCTGAGCAGGGGCTGAACCTGCGACCTTTGAATAACATGTCGAAAGCTCTGACGACACCACATTTAGTGCACATATATGCCCCATAAAGTAGACCGAGGATAGCCGCCGTGGTAGCTCAGTTGGTAAGCATCGGATGTGTTATTCGAAGGTCGCAGGTTTACTCCCTGCCTACACCAAGTTATCTTTTCGTCCACTTTTTTTCTTCGCATTTACATTACAATTATTTCGAATCATATCCCCCATACTTTCTTTGGTATGAACATCTGTTAGGTCCCATTAATACTGGGTCTATAACAAAGAAAATTAGCCCTTATGCATACACTACTTTTCTTCATTCCATAATTCTAGTGCATTCAAATCAATCTCAAAATTTCGCATCTGTGCAAATATTGTGACATTTCGAGACCAGAATGCTTTCGCATTGCTGGCGGTACATCTCTTGACAACAATAAGTTTTTGTTCCAGTGAGTCTGCTGATGGTACCTTCGAGGGACAATATATTGAGATGCCCTGCCTTGTCGTGCTCCCCTCTGATGGTATGTGTAGAATCATTGTCTTCTACAGTTACACAGTAGCACAACTTGTTATGCGAACGTTTCAATGCGCTGTCTTTGGTCGCAGCTGACACGTAGGACCACCGTTGCTACTCCTGAACAACCAAAACTCTCGAGAAATGACTCTAAAGAGTGATACCAATGCACCTGAAAACTTCTTAAACTAGATCGCGTCAGTATATGGTACATTAAGTACATGAGAAATTTGTCAACACACCACCAGGGGATGGTGTACCCGTAGGACGGTCAAGTTCTGAACTAAAAGTGGTGGTCATCCTGCCACCAGTGGCAATGCAGGCTTTCGACGTTAGGTTGCTTAAAAAAATGATACTGTTCCCTGTCCCCTTACTCAATACCTTACATTTTGCTGCATAGATTCATGGGGTCTTAGCATTGTGCATATATCGGTCGTCACGATGTATATATGTGCAATGCTAAGATCCAATGATGCCATAATATACTGATGAAAGTGCGCCTGTTCAAGATAAAAATCTCAGTTTGGATGTAACTGGGCCTGAAAAACGTGTCAGATTACATCAATACACGCTGTATACTGATAGCGGCAGACACAAAACTCTCTTACCAGATTCTTTTAAACGCAGCATTAATAAAAATATTTTCTTCATGTGAAGTGTGGCAGATGAAAGTTAATGAAAATAAAACGGTAGCTATGACGGTAACAAGTAAACGTCTTCCTTAACAATACTCCTATTCCATCAGTTATCAGAAACTATTGTTCGTTAAATAAATATTTATGGGTTGTATTAAGTGAAATGAGCATATTGCATACATTGAAAAAAAAGCTTCACAGAAATAAGGATCTCTAAGATGTTCCTTGTGCAAATCTACCCCGAAATTGAAATTGATTGCATATAAAACTTTTATCCTTCCGATACTCGAGTACTCATCTGTGTCCTGGGACCCTCACAGCCAAGTAAATAATAATACACTCGAAATGATTCAAAGAAAAGCAATGCGGTTTGTTTATAAATACACCTATCTTACGTTCTCCAGTGAACTGTTGAAAACAGCTGACCTAGATACATTGCAGGCAAGACGGCAACACAATGGATTGAAGTATGTTTTTAATTTACCACGATAAGCTCGGAATAAACAAGGATGCGAGTATAGAAGCTGTTAACCCCTGGTCTACTCATTTTGAGCATCAAAATAAACTGAAGGAAACTTCCCGTAAATGAAACTCTTTTAAAAACTCGTTTTTTTTAGCACACTGTCACTAATTAAAATGCTCTGCCTGGGGATTTGATAAACTGCAAAAATGTTGTTGTTCGAGGCAAAACTTAAACATCAGCATCCTACCTGACTTTCATTTTTTTCTCCTTGTCCTTTAATATTTCTCAAGATATTATCTTGGTATGCTTGTGATCAAAGCATTGTACTCTGACACATTGCTGATTTTCGCCTCGTTATATGACTGTTTTTTTTTTCTTGTTTTTTTTATGACCAAATGCTTGTTGTCATTGCTTTTGTGTTGCTTTTTTGTTTTTCTGTATTTTTCCGTGATGTATGCAAAGATAACTATACAGTTTAACCCCTTTATAAGAGGCACTGATATAAAAGACGAATGGGTATAGGAGACAACAGTGTGCCAACAGTAAAATACAGAATGATAGAAAAATGCATACGAGGTCTCCTGCTTATAAGAGACATCTTGTATAATAAAAGACAAGAATTGCTGCCCAGAGCATGCATCTTATAAAGGGGTTTAACTGTAATTGTGTAATTACTGGCACTTCAATTTGGTGCACTATAGTTCCTGATGGAGTAGCTACGCGTGGTATGTTTTCCTTTTTGTTGTATTTCTATATACTATCTCTTATGTGTCACCCACTTCTGCCTAAGGCTTCATGTGTGAGGCTGGCAGTATTTCTGAAACAAAATAAATAGTGTCGGCCATCGCTCAAACATTTCTGTGGGGGATTACGTCAGACTTTATACATGCGGCATCGAATCTTCACGCCTTATCCCACGGGCTCACGTAAGCTCTCAAATAAGCTTGAGTAGTGGTGTCCTGCATGTAAGCTTAATGGAAGGAGTTCAAACAATCGTGAAACTTCCCAAACCTTTAGCATGGTCAGCGCTGAGCGGTGATGAGTTTTTCATGGGTGAAACGCGAATACATAAAAATAATCTGGAAATAGCCCTGCATTTGAACACACATACGTACAGAAAGTGTCCAACGAAGGATGTATACAACAAGAACAGACACTCTTTCTTTTTCGGCACTACTTTTGTTTGAGCAACGTCTGTTTGTAAATCAAGGTGGCGTTAATCCTTCAGTTCCGATGTACTGTGCACTGTCATGCTCTGCTGCCTTAAACTGACCTACTGTTCATCTCGTGCATGTGTTTCCCAGAGGAGGGATTATTATTCTTGCAATTTCTAGCACTAGTTATTCCATTTATTTCTCCCTTTCTACTATGCATGACTCATGACTCCCATACTGAAATTTGTATGCTTGCCACATTCTGTGGAAGTTATTTGTAAAGTAATGAATCGGAAGGTGTTTCCAGAGCCACTAAAACGAAAACATCAAGCTGTCTCGGTGACGTTAACATATACTGATCAACACAAGTGTTCCTTTTACAGGAAAGTGCGTTGTAGCCTTAAAAGATAATGCATTTGTTATAGGTTGCCATAATTAAGGCTTCTGGATGTTGTAATTCGTAATCGCTATCCAATGCTAGGTCACTAATTAGCCTACAACAGAAAATGCTAATTCTCTGATTTTGTTTCAACAGCGATGGTATACACCAGTCTTCGCATCGTCAATTTTTCTCCACTTTTTATCGTACCACGCTTGAGGCAAACCAAAACACAAATACCTCAGGTTGTACATGCCAAAAATGAACTGTCTTCGTGGAGGGCCCCGGAAATTTCATCCTTCTCGTATTATTTGATGTGCACTAATATAGCACACCTCATGAGCTTCCGTGATTTTGCCTCCGTCAAAATGATACCGTCGCTGCCAGAATCAAACCCGCGACTTACACAGAACAGCCAGCTGCAAGGCAAGTTCACCATAGGAGTATGGCAGAACATCAATAAAATCTGCATTATACCGAGTAGTGTCAACGAAACATCTCACTAGGTAAAAATCATCACTAATACTACAACTTCATGCACTACAACCGATGCTCATTTTTTTGTTGACATCAATCTGTACTCTTTCCTCGTAAATCACTCTCTAACCACCAAATACCTTTTTCTGATGCCCATATAGATGACAATGAAGTTGAGAACATCAATGTACAGTTTCCGATCTCCAGCATCACCAAAGAGCCATTGCAGAGTACAAGTGGTGCAAACATGGGGGTCTTGCTGCTAACCGACGACAAGTAAGGGCCATTTTACAAGTCATTCATCAGGGTCTCGCAAAGGCTGGCCAGCACATTTGCCATTGCTAAATGTGCTTGACGTCACGATGAGTCTCAAAATAGCGCCCACTGCACTGTCTTGACTGGTAACTAAATATGAATGTGTAGGAACAAAAAACGTCACCGTTTCCTCGCGAGGGTGAATCCATGAACGTGATAACAATAAAGTGCAATGTTATATTAAAGAAATGCTAGCGACTAACGCAGTCGCCACATCAAGAAATTTTAGTTTTCATGTAGTGACCCTTTGACTCCTGTAGGATACATTTTCGGATAACCATACAAAGCTTTGGCCTAGCGATTTTCGTGCTTCTCCTTCCTTTAACTCAAAGTAACTGGTGTAAGCACAAAGGAATATCCTCTGTTTTCAGGTGTTCAAATTGCTATCGCTCTTGCGTGTGCCGTCTCGCCTGGCTTGTTCAAAGTCTGACTTTTCTGCCCGAGCAACACAGTCACCTCACCGACAACCATTCACGCTCCTTCACCTGACGGAGCAAGCCGACACGTTCTGCCTGTCTGAGGCGCACCCCTTTGAAGTTTTAACAACACTTTGCTTGCACAATGAGCATGCGAGGCACACCCCTTTGAAGTTTTAATAACACCTCGCTTGCACAATGAGCATGCGACGTACTTGCTGAGGTTATCAATTTGGAGAACAAACGATGATGGTGAAATAGGCTTGTAATAATTGTAATACTGTTTTTGCAATAGAAATGATGGAGATTTTTTTCTATATATAGCAACGTACCACAATATTTTGCATTTGTAGGAGATGCCTTACGAAACATGTAAGGAAAAACTGAGATCAGAAATTATTCTGTAGGGCTCAAAAGAAGTGTAATGTCTAATTATGACATAATTTAGGTACATAATACAGGAATAGGTGCATATTAATAGTCACTAGAACCGTTGCACTCACGGGAACTTTTCTTATGATTGGAAGAAAGTGCACGCAAAAGTGATTCGCATAGATTAATGCCTTATATCCAATGCCATCCTGCTATCTTCGTAGCCTAGTTGGCGTTATCTGCACAGAACAAACATCATAAAACAAATGGAGATAGCTCCAGGGAGCTGCACCACAAAAGTTTTAATATCACAGAAAATAATGACCTCTTTCTTGCCAGTGTTTCCATGGCCACAGTTGACATCAATATGTACTCTGACTGTTTTCTATCGTAAGTGAACGCTCGCGTGCTATTTTGGTCATGTCAGTACAGGTCATGTCAATGCACAGCACTTATCGTTTATGCATTCAAGCTTAATTAGTTTGCGAGGCAAACAAGTTGTGTGTTTCTTTGAAAGCACCTCAGAAATTGTAAGGATGTCTTTGCACAAATAAGACTCAGTTGCTTCTGCACTTCAGGCAATTTCGATACGCTTGCCAGTAGTCAATTTGTCCAGGGTGTTAGCAGTTTCTTGTTTATTATTATTATAGTTCATGTTATCGTATGCACTACACAACAAAACATGATAATAACCTTTCTCTGTAGACGTCCTGAGGATAAACTCAATGCAAAAACGGAAGATATGGATCACCAGGATGCCGACACTACTATTGACAATGGTGAGTGATGGAAGCTTTTTCATTATTATTATAGCATGGGAACGTACAGCCCTTAGTTTCTCCCTGAAAAACATAATTTGACCGCATTACTTTATTGGTTTGAAGAGGCTTGTATACACGAAATGTGTATCTATGCGGTCGTGCTTCATAGTGTTGTGGTACAATATAAGACAGTCATCATCATCAGCCTGAGTACGTGGACAAAGGCCTCTTTCATATTCAGCCAGTCAACTCCATCCTGTGCTTGCTGCTTCCACTTTACACACGCTAACTTCCTAATGTCGTCTGCCCACCTAAATTTCTGTCTCCCCCTAACCCACTTGCTTTCTCTGGCAAACCATGGTCAGTTAGCCTTTATGACCAGCGGTTATCCTGTCTACACGCTATGCACTACACAATGAATCATCATATCTTTTGTGTTGTCGAAAGGCATTCACTATGCCAATCTTCGTCATTCTTCGGAGAAGCATGGTACTCGCTACAGACTTGCAAGGAGTTTGTATAATTTTTTGATGCTGTGGCTGATGATGAATTATGCCTGAAGCTTTTATAATGGATTTGAGCATTCGATGACTAGCTCCTAACGCAATTTGCATTCTTTGATGCCTGGTTGTTCCGTTGTTGTTCTGATAAGTATTACTCAAATTAATGTAATTTCTTTCTCGACGTGAAGCGGGTCCAAGGTCAGTTTTCAATGCAATTTCAAGCACTGATGGGGCTAAGTGGTATAATTCTGAGCTGGCATGGAGCGAACCCGGGTTGGAATCCTGTTTCTTTGATGTTTTCTATTTATTTAGTTTTATTTTATTTCGTGCAATAGTGGTTACGGACACCGGTGGACAACTACGGTTCACAACACTTGTTGTGATATCATAACAGCTTTTTCGGTAAAACGAGTTGGTTATATTTTAGTTTGTTGTGAAATGGTACTGCAATGACTGACAGCAACTGAACAATAAACGAAAGCTGATAAAATGAAGCATACACAAAATGGAAATCAAAGTTATTAAAACAGAACTTGGAACAGAGCTGGTTTCATTTTCATTGGGAGTGTTCACAACCCTTGTTGTGATATCATAACAGCTTTTTCGGTAAAACGAGTTGGTTATATTTTAGTTTGTTGTGAAATGGTACTGCAATGACTGACAGCAACTGAACAATAAACGAAAGCTGATAAAATGAAGCATACACAAAATGGAAATCAAAGCTATTAAAACAGAACTTGGAACAGAGCTGGTTTCATTTTCATTGGGAGTATGCAACATTGTGGCTACCCGGAGCTCCGATCTCTCCTTTTTTAAGTAACGCCAAGATGGTGGTACTGTGTCAAGGGAACGCTGTAAGATATGCATTTTTTAAAGCCAAATTTTGACACCACAGCATCGCCCACCATCACTGCCACTGTTGCGTCGGCTACGTCCACTACAATGGGAGCGCCAGGCACCACCGCCGCAGTACCAGGCACGTCCGATTCCACCACACCACCACCCGACACCTCTGCCACGGCAGCACCAGGCACCGCCACTGACAAAACTGGTGAGACTTCAGCATTTTGTCTTCTGTTTTAAAAGGACTATCGATGTGCACTTTTGAAGGCGAGCAGATTGGGCTAGCTGGTTTTATGTAGTTACTAAATGGTACAGTGATAATATAAGAGAAGTAAGAAACCCTTTGATTTAGCCTTATTATATGCCAAGTCCTCCCATCTTGCGGTACACAGTACCCCTCAATTTTTTTTAAGCAACCATATATGTCTTGCCCACAAAAGGGTCACCTTTGCAGCTTGTCAAGGTTCCGTTGACTTTACATACCACTGGTTGGCTAATGGCTAAACTTCTTCAGAAACTCCACGCCCATCTAGAAACAGTCCTATCGGCATTTACATAGCATTGCGCGAATAGTAAATTTTGGGTACAAAGTGAATTTCAATGCGAATGGTACTTATTACATGTTAACAAGCTAAGTTAGCATATTTGTCATGACCCAGTTATGTGCAGTGTATGTATATATATATATATATATTCTCCCCACGCAGAGTGCAGAACAAAGCCCTCTCCTTTAGTCTGCCAATCCACCCGGTCTTATGCTTGTGCTTTCCGTGGTCACATTACAACTGTGAACTTTTTGATCTCATTGACCCACCTAACTTTCTGTCTACCCCTCGTGCATTTGCCTTCTCTGGGAATCGAGACAGTTACCTTAAGTATCAGCGGTTATCCTGCCTTTGTGCCTGGTCCATGCCCATATCTTCTTATTGATTTCAACCAAGAAATCCTTAACCCTGGTTTGTTCCTTGATCCACTCTGCTCTCTTTTTGTTTCTTAAGGTGAGACCTAACATTTTCCTTTCCATCACTCGCTGCATGGTCCTCAATTTAAGCTGAACCCTCTTTATAAGCCTGTATGTTTCTACTTCGTAGATAAATACTGGCAAGATGCAGCTAATATAAGCCTTGCATGTACTTGCATTTTATCCTTTATCCATTATGTACTTGCATTTTATCACATTATTATTCGCATGCTTGAACATACGTGAACTTCAGGATTGTCCTATTGTGATCGTGTTTCTTCATCCCAACTACTTTAGTAGATCTTGAATTCTGTCATTTCTTTCAGTTGGTTATCGCCATTCTTTGTCGCAAGATGACAAACCCTTACGTTTTCTTCCAGATTGTCTTGAAACGGCAGAAAACAAAACTGACCTAGCGCTTCCAATGGCCAGCAGCAACAGCTCCAGTGACGCAGTTCCCAGTGCAAGCCCTGCAGGCAAGGCAGCTGAATCTGCGGCAAACAGCTCGATGCATGGGCAACAGTTGAAGTGTCTTGACAGCAAAGCTACCTCAGAACACCTGACCTGTTTGGCAACAGCAGAGCTGTACGTTACCAGTCACAAGTAATCGATTAGTTCTAATCAACTGCATTTTGTTGCATTATTGTAGTGTAAATATTTTTTTGAAACTGAATCAATCTAGTTGATCCAATGACAAGATTTCGTAATTATTTTTGATTATCAATTACATATTGTCAAAAGCGAGTTGTAGCAGTCTTCTGTGGCTACTCCCATCCCAATAAGTATGTGTCTGTTCTGAAGGGACTTTCCGTACACGAAGACGGGGAAGCTGCGGAAACTCTTTTAACGCAACAATGTTAAGAAAGCTTGTTTCGACGAAATCCTGTTGGCAATGCCTGCGAGCCTCTGTTGTTCAGAGTGGACAACCATTGTGTCATTGACCAATAAATTCAGAAAGATGCAATGAATAAGGAAAGTTATTGGTTCGAGACACCATCAAACACACACCATCTGCATTGATAGCTGCTTTGCATAAAAGCTTTATATGATTGTGATGTAATGCATCTCGTCTTCTTAACGCATGTAAGGTTGGTTGGCAGAAGAGAACAATCGCACGAAGCCTCAAGACATGCGAATTCCAGTGACTGGGCGTTTTAATTTCCTACACAATACAAAGTGCTAAGACATATCATCAGCTGCAAACGCATGAACAAAAGGAGAAGCTGCACAGGTTCGTGTGTTGTGTAATGAATTCTTTGCTGATTCGCAAAAGGAAGAAGTATTGCTGAGAGGCTCCTAAGAACTGCACTTCAATTCATGACGAATCCCCCACAGTGGGTGTGTGCCACAGTGAATAGGTAGACAAGAACTGCACCTGCAGTGGGCATTGTACAGTAGCTCAAATTGGCCAATGTCACGGTTTAGGCATGCACTGAGAACCGAGGCTAAGCTAGCAGTTAAGAAGGCAATGCATACAGGGCACTATTGCACTATCACATTTTCTTCTTGACTGTGAATCGAAAGAGTTGACCATGTTCTTTTTTTTTCTCACTTCTTCAACCTTAACTATAATGCCGTACCCGAGCTCCAAGAAAAGCAAAGGGTGACTCTTCATAGGTACCACTATGTGTTTCAATGTAGAACTTACTGCACTGTCATAATTTGTAATTAAATATAACTGACTAGGATTGAAAAAAATCGTCAGCCACAAGGATGAATCTATGAACGTGATAACAATTAAATGGAATGTTATATTAAAGAAATACTATCGGCTAATGCAGTCGCCATATTGAAAAGTTTTTGTTTTTATGTAGTGGCCCTTTGACTCCTGTAGGATACAATTTCGAATAACCATACAAATCTCTGGCCTAGCGATTTTCGTGCTGCTCGTCCCTCTAACTTGAAGTAACTGGTGAATAGGCTTGCCCAAATATTCAAAGGAATAGTAGAATACTCAAATTTGATTCGAATTTAAATTATCGAATATTCCGAAGTATTCAATATGAACGAATAAGTGTATACTAAACCGCAAGTAATCGCCTGTAAAGATATTTTCACTGCAGAAATATGGTGCTAAGCCGTGAAAACACCTACTCAAGAAAAATTTGCTCTGTCGCGAAGTCTCACTTCAAATTTAAAGGGGTCCTGCAACACTTTATGAGCATGGTCAGCAAACGCTGCCGATCGGTAGTCCAGGCTACTGAGAATACGCGAGCTAAATATTAGAGCGCAGCACAAAACCTTAAATTCACAATAAATCTCAGATAAAAATTGCTCTCTTTTCTCCGCAAATGACTCCACAATGACAAAAATCGTTAGGCTGAGCCATTGTACCAGCCATTCGCTGATTGGAGCATGGAGTGCCCAATCGACACTGGGGCGGCTGCGGGCGGCCGCGACACGTCCACGCGTACATACGCGGTCGCCCTGAAAAGCTGCGAAATTATACAAAAAAAAAAAGTGGTCAAGGTCACGACACGCATGTGACGTATTTCCTTTCCATATGCATGCCATCATCTTTGCTTCAAGCGCTTTCGTTGGGACAAGAAGAGAGAAGGCAATTGCATATGTGGCAAATATTTGCAACTTTGCTCATGCCGGACAGATTCACAAAATTTTTGAGGGGGTTAATTCATAAAGTAAGAAGCTTCTTTAGTGAATCCATTCCATGGCTACTTGAAAAACTGTTTTAGTCCCTTTAAATGAACATACTATCCTCAAATCGATTTATCATTTTCTTAGCTTAAAAGCATGTTTTGCCAGTTTATACACTCTGAAATGAATAATGTTACATATTTTACAGGCTATCACTTGCATCCTATTGAAAGTCGAATTTTGCTGCTTCTCAAAGCTGTTTAGACTGCTTTTGAATGGAAAACATGAAGAAAGCTCTTGCATAGAGGCCACATTTCAAAAAAAGTATTGTGCAGGTTAAATAGGTCATGATAAATATGCCCATTTTTCTTTACATGATAGATTTTATTCGAATTGAAATTGTTCAAACAAAGTTGCTATTCGCTTCGAATCTAGAATTCACTGTTCGCACAAGCCTACTGGTGAAGGCACAAAGGAATATCCGCTCTTTTCAGGTGTTGTCGAAATTGCCATTGCTCTTGTGTGCACCATCTCACCTGTCTTGTTCAAAGTTAGATTTTTCTGCCCAAGCTGGGCAGCCACCCCACCGGAAACATTCATGCCCTTTCGCCTGACAAAGCTGGCCGGCACGTTCTGTCTAAGATTGCAGTTTTAATGTCTGCACACAGAGCATGGGACGCACGTGCTGAGGTTATCAATTTGGACTTGTGGAATAAACAATGAGGGCAAAATAGGCTTGAGGTGATTATAAAATCATTGTTGCTATATAAATGACACGCAGGATATCTTTTTAGAGATAGTGGTTTACTTGGCACAGTATTGTTGCATTCGTAGGAGATGTCTTATAAGACATTTTGAGAAACACTGAGATCAGCAATTATTTTGTACAGCTCCAAAGAAGTGTAATGTCCATTTGTGATATAATTTAGGTATGTAATACAGGAATAGGTGCATACTTAGTCACCAGAATTTTTGAAGTCACGTGGACTTTTTTTATGATAGGAAAAAAGTCCATGCAAGGAAGATTCGCAAAAATTAACGCCTTGTATGCAATGCCATCCTGCTATCTTAGTAGCCTAGTTGGCGTTACCTGCACAGAACAAACATCATAAAACGAATGGAGACAGGGAGATGCACCACAAAAATTATGTAATTATAGGAACTGGTGACCTCTTTCTTGCCAGTGTTTTCATGACCACATTTGACATCAATCTGCACTGCGAACGTTTTCTATCGTAAAGGAACCTTGCGTGCCGTTTTGGTCATGTCGATACATGTCGTCTTCAAAGTGCAACGTTTATTGTTTATGCATTCAAGCTTAATTAGTTTGCAAGGCAGTCAAGCTGTGTGTCTCTTTGAAAGCACTTCAGAAAGTGTAAGGATGTCTTTGCATAAATAAGACTCAGTTGCTTCTGCACTTCAGGTAATTTGGATACGCTTGCCAGTAGTCAATTGGTCCAGGGTGTTAGCAGTTTCTTGTTTATTAGCATTATAGTTCATGTTATCGTAGGCACTACACAACAAAACATCATAATTACCTTTCTTTGTAGACGTCCTGAGGATAAACTCAATGCAAAACTAGAAGATATGGATCACCAGGACGCCGACACTACTATTGACAATGGTGAGTGATGGAAGCTTTATTATTATTATTATAGCATGGGAACATACAGCCCTTAGTTTTTCCCTGAAGAACTCAATTTGACCGCATTACTTTATTCGTTCGAAGAGGCTTGTATACACGAAATGTGTATCTATGCGGTCCTGCTTCATAGTGTTGTGCTACAATATAAGACAGTCATCATCATCAGCCTGAGTACGTGGACAAAGGCCTCTTTCATATTCTGCCAGTCAACTCCATCCTGTGCTTGCTGCTTCCACTTTACACACGCTAACTTCCTAATTTCGTCTGCCCACCTAAATTTCTGTCTCCCCCTAACCCACTTGCTTTCTCTGGCAAACCATGGTCAGTTACCCTTTATGACCAGTGGTTATCCTGTCTACACGCTATGCACTACACAATGAATCATCATATCTTTTGTGTTGTCGAAAGGCATTCACTATGCCAATCTTCGTCATTCTTCGGAGAAGCATGGTACTCGCTACCGACTTGCAAGGAGTTTGTATAATTTTTTGATGCTGTGGCTGATGATGAATTATGCCTGAAGCTTTTATAATAGATTTGAGCATTCGATGACCAGCTCGCATTCTTTGATGCCTGGTTGTTCCGTTGTTGTTCTGATAAGTTGATTACTCAAATTAACGTAATTGCTTTCTCGACGTGAAGAGGGTCCAAGGTCAGTTTTCAATGCAATTTCATGCACTGATGTGGCTAAGTGGTATAATTCTGAGCTGGCATGGAGCGAACCCGGGTTGGAATCCTGTTTCTTTGATGTTTTCTATTTATTTAGTTTTATTTTATTTCGTGCAATAGTGGTTACGGACACCGGTGGACAACTACGGTTCACAACACTTGTTGTGATCTCATAACAGCTTTTTCTGTAAAACGAGTTGGTTATATTTTGGTTTGTTGTGAAATGGTATGACAATGACTGACAGCAACTGAACAATAAACGAAAGCTGATAAAATGAAGCATACACAAAATGGAAATCAAAGCTATTAAAACAGAACTTGGAACAGAGCTGGTTTCATTTTCATGGGGAGTATGCAACATTGTGGCTACCCGGAGCTTGGATCTCTCCTTTAAGTAACGCCAAGATGGTGGTACTGTGTCAAGGGAACGCTGTAAGTTATGCATTTCTTAAAGCCGAATTTTGCAACCACAGCATCGCCCACCATCACTGCCACTGTTGCATCGGCTACTTCCACTACAATGGGAGCGCCAGGCACCACCGCCGCAGTACCAGGCACGTCCAATTCCACCACACCACCACCCGACACCTCTGCCCAGGCAGCACCGGGCACCGCCACTGACAAAACTGGTGAGACTTCAGCATTTTGTCTTCTGTTTTAAGAGGACTATCGATGTGCACTTTTGAAGGGGAGCAGAATGGACTAGCTGGTTTTATGTAGTTACTAAATGGTACAGTGATAATATAAGAGAAGTAAGAAACCCTTTGATTTAGCCTTATTATATGCCAAGTCCTCCCATCTTGCGGTACACAGTACCCCTCAATTTTTTTTAAGCAACCATATCTGTCTTGCCCACAAAAGGTTACCTTTGCAGGTTGCCCAAGGTTCTGTTGACTTCACATACCACTGGATGGCTAATGGCTAAACTTTCTCTAGAAACTCCAAGCCCATCTAAAACAGTCTTCTCGCCATTTACATAGCATTGCTGATAGCATTTTGGGTGAAAAGTGAATTCAAATGCGAATGGTACTTATTACATGTTAACAAGCTAATTTAGCATATTTGTCATGACCCAGTTATGTGCACTGTGTGTGTGTATATATATATATATATATATATATATATATATATATATATTCTCACCACGCCCACTGCAGGGCAAAGCCCTCTCCTTTAGTCTGCCAATCCACCCGGTCTTGTGCTTGTGCTTTCCGTGGTCACATTACAACTGCGAACTTTTTAATCTCATTGACCCACCTAGCTTTTTGTCTCCCCCTCGTGCATTTGCCTTCTCTGGGAATCAAGACAGTTACCTTAAATATCAGCGGTTATCCTGCCTTTGTGCCTGGTCCATGTCCATTTCTTCTTATTGATTTCAACCATGATATCCTTAACCCTGGTTTGTTCCCTGATCCACTCTGCTCTCTTTTTGTTTCTTAAGGTGAGACCTAACATTTTCCTTTCCATCACTCGCAGCTTGGTCCTCAATTTCAGCTGAACCCTTTTTGTAAGCCTCTATGTTTCTACTTCGTAGGTAAATACTGGCAAGATGCAGCTATTATATGCCTTCTTCTTGAGGAATAGTGGCAGTTTACCACTCATGATTTGAGAGTGTTTGCCAAATGTGCTCCACCCCATCCTTATTCTAACAACTTCAATCTCGTGGTTTGGCTCATCAGTTATTACCTGTCCTAAGTAGATGTAATCTTTTAAAACTTCTATAGCATAATACCTATATCAAAGCTCTGTTTTCTTTGGTTGTTGTATGTTACTTTCTTTTTCTGCAGATCAAGTTTGAGACTTAGCTTTGTGTTCTCTTTGTATAATCAGTAATGATGAGTGCAATTCATCCCCTGAGTGAGTCAGCAATGCAATGGCATTGACAAAGCACTAAGTTACTAAGGTACATTTCATTAATTCTTATTCCTAGCTCTCCCCAGTGTAGGCCTCTGAAAATCTCCTGTAAAGCCGTGGTAAATAGCATTGGGGAGATCGTATCCCCTTGCCTTACATTATTCTTGATTCGTATTCTGTAGCTTTCTTCATAGACCAGTATGGCGGCAAATGATCCTCTGTATATTTCTTCCGGGATGTTTATATATGTTTTTGTTGATGCCCTGATTCCGCAGTTTCTGCCTGACTGATGATATTCAGATAACACTGCGATAAGGCTATAGCGGGGCTCTGTCTGCCCACACCCACTGTACTAATCTGCATGTAGTAACAATAATTACATATGGTATGAGCATAATTACTACATAAATTCATTCCCAATATTTTTCATATGTGTCGTACACTTTCATTGTATTCTGATAGATACTATAGTCATTGGGACGGCTGATGAAAATTGTCGCAACACGGAAACATGGGAAAAACAGAAGAAAGCACTTTACCTTAAAATGTGTCCTAAGAATATACATAGACGCTAAGCCTTGTATATAACACTGGCTCCCTTAACTCCCGCCCAATATTTTCGTATGCCTGTACTTGCGTTTTCCGACATTATTATTCGCATGCTTGAAAAGACGTGAACGATGGTCCTATTGTGATCGTGTTTCTTCATGCCAACTAATTCTGTAGAAGATCTTGAATTCTGTCATTTCTTTACAGCCGGTTATTGCCATTCATTGTCGCAAGATGACAAACCCTTGCGTTTTCTTCCAGATTGCCTTGAAACGGCCGATAACAAAACCGATCTGGCACTTCCAATGGCCAGCTGTGACAGCTCTAGTGATGCCGTTCCCAGTGCAAGCCGCACGGACAAGGCAGCTGAATCTGCGGCAAACAATTCGATGCAATGGCTACATTCGAAGTATCTTGACTGCGAAGCTGCCTCGGAATACCTGTCCTGTTCCGCACCTGCAGAGCTGTACGTTACTCATCACAAGTAATCGATTAGTCCTAATCAAGTACATTTTCTTGTATTATTATAATATAATTGATTACTTTCCAAAACTGAAACAATCTAGTTGATCTAATGACAAGATTTGGTAATTTTTGATTATCAATTACACTTTGTCAAAAGTGAGTTGTACTAGTCTTCTGCGGCTACTCCGAACCCATTAAGTATGTGACTGTTCTGAAAAGACCTCCAATACTTATAGACGGGGCAGCTACAGAGCCTATTTTAACGCAACTATGTTTAAAAAGCCGGTTTCTCCGAAATCTTGGTGTCAGTGTCAACAGCAGTGTTGGGTGCCTCTATTCTTAAGAGTGAACAATTGTCGTGCTGTTGACCGAAACATTAAGAAAGACGCAAAGAATAACAAAAATTATTTGTTGGAGTCACCATCGAATACACACCATTTGCATTGAAAGCAAGTGCCTTATAACGCAAAGTCTCAGTATTACTGTAAACTGCTTTGGACAAAAGCTTTATGTGATTGTGATGTAATAGATTGAGTCTTCTCAATGCATGTAAGATTGGTTGGCAGAAGAGAGCAATCGCACGAAGCCTCAAGACATGCGAATTCGAGTGACTGGGCGTTTTAATTTCCTACACAATACAAAGTGCTAAGACATATCATCAGCTGCAAACGCATGAACAAAAGGAGCAGCTGCACAGGTTTGCGTGTTGTGTAATGAATTCTTCGCTGATTCGCAAAAGGAAGAAGTATTGCTGAGAGGCTCCTAAGAACTGTACTTCAATTTATGTCGAATCCCCCACAGTGGGTGTGTGCCACAGTGAATAGGTAGACAAGAACTGCACCTGCAGTGGGCAATGTACAGTAGCTCAAATTGGCCAATGTCACGGTTTAGGCATGCACTGAGAACCGAGGCTAAGCTAGCAGTTAAGAAGGCGATGCATACAGGGCACTATTGCACTATCACATTTTCCTCTTGACTGTGAATCAAGAGTTGTCCATGTTCGTTTTTGTTTCTCACTTCTTTAACCTTACCTACAACGTCATACCCGAGCTCCAAGAAAAGCAAAGGCGGACAGTTCATATGTACCACTATGTGTTTCAAAATTGAATTTACTCCACTGTCGTAATTTGTAACTACATATAAATGTGTAGAAAAGAAAAAAGTCACCGTTTAGCTGCAAGGGTGAATCCATGAACGTGATAACATACGAGCGGCTAATGCAGTCGCCACATTAAGTTTTTGTTTTTATGTAGTGACCCTTTGACTCCTGTAGGATACAATTTCGGATAACCATACAAAGCTCTGGCCTAGCGATTTTCGTGCTGCTCGTCCCTCTAATTTGAAATAACTGGTGAATAGGCTTGCGCGAATATTCAAAGGAATAGGAGAGTACTCAAATTTGATTCGAATTTAAATTATCTGTAGTGACAAATACGGGCTCTAAGAACGACGAAGAAGACGTTTGTTGTGGCGGAGGCCAACCAGCAGTTCCAGCAGCTGCTGCTGCAGCTGCTGCTGAAACTGCTGGTTGCTGTCTAGGTGCTGTTAGGCCCAATAAACGGTTGCTCTACCACAGCGTGCGTCTAGCAGTATTCTTACATTTGATGGCGAGTGCTGGTTGTCTCAAACTGGAACTCTGTTCCCAGACTCTACCTTAGCCCCTCGCCTCGCCAATGCCTGACAACATGACCCAGCCCCCTTCAGTGATGATCCCATCTGTCACCTGTTCTGGAATGCCACAACAGAGAGATCCAGTGATTTTCAACGCGACTGACGACCAAGACGCCGAAGACTGGCTGTCGCAGTATGAAGCGGAAAGCGCCCACAATAAGTGGGATGACACAGACAAGCTCGCTTAGCTCAATTTCTATCTCGCGGGCGTGGCAGAAGTGTGGTTTAACAACCACAAAGCGGAAATACCCTCTTGGCCAACCTTAAAGACGCGCTTCGCAGAAGTCTTTGGCCGACCCGCTGTTCGCAAGCTCTGCGCCAAACAGTGCCTGCGCTGCCGGGCACAGCGCTCAGGTGAGACCTTTACCTTGGATATTGAGGATGTTCTGGACCTCTGCCGTTATATCGATTCTGTAATGTCTGACACTGACAAAATACGACACATCATGAAAGGTATTGAGGACGGCGCCCTTCACATGCTCGTTGCGAAAAACCCGCAAACCGTCGTCCAGCTTATTCAGCACTGTCACAGTTTTGACGAGCTGCAAAGAGAGCAGACTTTTACTCGATGTCCAAACCTCGACATGACCTCTACATCGAGGTTAACCGTTGGCGCTGTTTCCTCCGAACAAACCATGTTAATGCAGCAAATTCAGCAGTTTGTCCGAGAACAAGTTTCGCGCCAATTGTCTCTTGTGCCGTACGTCCCAACCAGTGCGCACACGCTGACCCCAACGCTCCGCAAGGCAATTGAAGAGCAAGTTTCTGACGCCCTGTCTCCCACATACAATCCTCCGCCTATCTCCGCCCCTCTCATTTACGCTGAGGCCTCCAGACGATCGCCGCCGTTGCTACCAAACTGACCATCGCCGTCATCGCTACCAACCGTCAAGCGACGCGGACCTTGCTAGACAGCCCCGTCCCCTCTACGCAGCAAGTCCACCTACCCGTCGCCACCCACCTCCTGTTCGCCACCCCACACAACCATCAACAAACCCTTGGCGCACTCCAGACAACAGGCCAATTTGCTATTCCTGCCAGCTTCCTGGTCATGTAGCACGCTACTGCCGTATTACAACCCAACTGCTGGTGAGGTGACTTATGGACTCCTATCGTCCAGAGCCACCACGGCCGTCTTCGTTCCACCCCACGTCGGATCAGTCGATGCGGCTTCGACAGGAATCGGTCGCCCTCACCACGGCGCCGCTCTATTTCTCAGATGCTTCCTCGATCAGCACCCGCCCAAACGGAAAACTGACCATCGCAGTTCCCGAGGCAAGAAGTGCGCATATATCGAAACCTTCAAGGCCTCCGTTTTTACCTGCTAATGAAATAACTGTGCATATTGATTGTGTTCCTGCGAAAGCGCTCGTTCATACTGGTGCTGCCGTTTCTGTGTCAAGTGGTGAACTGTGGCGCAAGTTGAAGAAGCTTACGCTGCCGCTTTCCGATGTCTCTCTCCGCACGGCCTCAGCGCATCACATCCAACCTTCTGCGACGTGCACAGCTCGACTGGTCATCGAAAATATTTTGTATGTAGTCGAATTCGTGTTTTCCCCATGTTCACACGATATCATCTTAGGCTGGGACTTCCTCTGCGCTCATCATGCTGTCGTTCACTGTGCGCGTGCCGAACTACAGTTGTCGACAATGTGTGAACTGCCCCTGTGTTAAGCGCCGACGTCTGAAGCACCTTCTTACAAGCCGCTATCTTCCCGAGTCACCGTAGCCGCAGACACTCACATTCCTCCTCTATCCTGTGTTCATGTGCCACTCTTCTGCGATGACGCACCTTCTGTCACCGCCCCCTTTATCCCCTCAGACACCTTCGGCTCTCCCAAAAGCTTCTTTCTCCCGTTCGCAGTTGTCACCGTAGAAAACTCACGTGGCTCTATTTATATAACGAACTCTCTTCCTTCCCTGGCCGTATTATTCCGCGGCGAACTCCTCGGTCACCTTAAGGAAATTGATTCTGCTTCATTCGGTCACCTACCTGATGACTTGTCATCATCTCACTTAAACACCATTACCTGTGATACCACTCTTCATCTCCGGAGGATTTTTCCCCATCCTTTGACCCTAAACTTCCCTTTGCTCAGCGCATCCAACTCCTGGCTTTACTCAATCGCTTCAAGATGTCATTTGACCATAGCCAACCTTCTTTGGGTCGCACGTCTGCCATCGTTCACAAAATCGACATCGGTAGCCATGCACCTTTGCGCCAGCGCCCATATCGAGTTTCTCACGCTGAAGGCCCTGCCATTGATGATCAGGTGAACGATATGCTTCGACCTGGTGTAATACAACCTTCAAACAGCCGTTGGGCCTCTTCGGTTGTACTGGTAAGAAAAAAAATCGTAGCATCAGATTTTGCGTTGATTACAGGCGTCCTAATAAAAGCACGAGAAAAGATGTTTATCCGCTGCCAAGAATCGATGACGCCCTCGATTGCCTGCCAGAAGCAGAGTTCTTTTCTTTAGATCTTCGATCCGGCTACTTGCAGGTCCCTATGAATGAAGCTGACTGCTCCAAGACTGCGTTTGTAACACCCGACGGATTGTACGAGTTTAAGGTCATGCCATTCGGCCTCTGTAATGCGCCTGCTTCTTCGAGGGTCTCATGCACAACATCCTTAGAGGCTTTAAATGGAACACATGCCTGTGCTATTTGGATGACGTCATCGTTTTTTTCGAAGGACTTCAACTCCCACCTCAGCCGCCTAGCAAGCGTCCTGACTTGTCTTTTCAACGCTGGACTGCAGCTGAATTTGAAAAAATGCCACTTCGCTGCCCGCCAGCTTACCATCTTAGGGCATGTTAGCAAGCATGGTGTTCGTCCTGATCCAGCCAAGCTTCGCACTGTCACCGACTTTCCCAGGCCGGCTACACTAAAAGAACTCCGCAGCTTCATTGGGCTCTGCTCATATTTTCGCCGTTTTGTGGGCAATTTCGCCACCATAATCCCACCCTTGACACAGCTACTTGCCGACAACCAAAACATCTGTGTGGTCCGCAGCATGCGACGAAGCATTCGCGTCTTTATGCCATCTTCTGACATCACCACCTATTCTACGCCACTTTGATCCACATGCTCTAACCGAAATCCATACGGACGCTAGTGAAGTTGGCCTCGGCGCGATTCTTGCTCAGCGTAAATCTGGCTTCGATGAGTATGTTGTGTCCTACGCTAGTCGCACCCTCACTAAAGCGGAAAAGAACTATTCAGTCACCGAGAAAAAATGCCTTGCCATTTTTTGGGCAATCGCAAAATTCTGGCCTTATGTATATGGCCGCCCATTTGACGTCGTGACTGATCACCACGCATTGTGTT